CAGGTTCCCTGGTTTTCAAAATGACAGTGCGACACATCTGAAATTTGATTTACAGTATTTATAAGCACGTGGAGCAGTCGGTAGGCACTCTGCTCTCCAAGTAAAGGACTGTTATCAAGCACTGAGTACTCTGAGATATTAGGCCCCAGAGTATCCAACTGCACGCTCAAAACTGGTTGGTAATTTTGAGTTACATTTTGCAGAATCACGTGTTCTCTTATAAGTGGAGATAACCAGATCAATGCGGCAAACATAATATGAAAACAGTGTGATTAATATTTGTAAGCCTAAGATATGATGATGGAAATCCTACCTAGCATTCATAGCAAGGCTTTGAATGGATCCATAAAATGAATGATGAGGAAAAATCAAACACTAAATAGTGGTTTATTCAAAAAACTACACCATCCAAACACCAAAAGAGGCAGAGATTTGTTCCAAAAAACCTGTATAAGCTCATAATTAATGGCCATATCCTAATGTGAATGGGCTAAGTTAATGTTATACTGGCAAACTGAAGAAAAGTACATCTTAAATTCTCAGTGCTTGATTTTGCAGACTTAAAGCTTTTTTAACATACCTTGGGAGGTATTATAGGCAAGGCTAGTATTAATGGTTATTAATAAGGTTGTCTGGTACTTCCCTTTATAATCCTCATTTTAAGTTGCTTATGACTTACCATCAATTTAAACAACCTAACAACAATTTTCCTTGCTTTTTGTCTGCCTCTGGCTGGTTTCATGTTTGCATGAGCACGCATGTTGTGTATGGGCCAAAATATTTCCATTACCTAAGTTTAATCTAAATTAAATGGTTTTTTTTCCCAGAAGAAAGGAAAATTACTAGTATCCTCAACTGCAACAGGAAAACTTGAATATTCATTTCCATTCTCTAGAAAAATTTACTCAAACTGCCACCATTTCTAACAAACACACAGTGCCTTGGTTGTTACAAATACCCTGAGCTCAAAAAGAGCCAGTAATCAGTCCTAATGAGAATATGTGCTTTTTTTTTTTTTTTTGATAGATCCAGGTAATCTGTAGGTCTGCAAAGTGTTGCTAGGAATTGCTAGGGAGAGCTGAGAGCAGAGGAATTGACTGTGCTGGGTTGGAAGTTGCTGTTTTCCTCCATTATGCCACCAACAGGCGCAAGGCTTTCTTCTCACTCTCAATAAAATCATAATCAACATCCCTCCTTCCCACATGCACACAGCTTTCTGGATCAGGCCAGCGGTTCCCTATGGAGACACCAATATCAGAGAACTGTTGCATACAGTCAGTTAATTGTGTGGCTGTCAGCAGGGGTGTCAGTCTCCATACTGACTGCCTCTGCAGAGATCAGGTCTGGTGCTGGAGTAAGCTACATTTACATGTCAGCAATGTCCTAGCTCTTGGTTGGGATAGAGAGATTTGGAGGCAGGCAGCACAGAGACTACCGCTGCTGTGGGTTCTCCGTCATCTGGCAGCTTGCAGCAATCTCCATCCAGTAGGACTCAGTGTTTCAAAGCTGTGATGAGTGAAACAGAGAGAAGTGAAGAGATGGCAAAAATTTACTTTGCCAAGTTTTTGTAAGGAGCAATGGGGAATTAGGAAGGATCTTTACAAGCTCCCAGGAACTGTAACTCAACAGTATTTTCTTTCAATCCTTCATTCTAGCCATAAGCCCTCTTAGTTCAAGAAAAGGGAGCAAGGTCCAGGGAATGCCCCAACCCTTCCTACTGTTCCAAGACTCCTATAGAAATGACTATGTTCAATTTATATGTTCAGAGCAACTTGGGCACTGCAATGACTTGCTAAGACAGAGAACTGAAGCAGAGAAAGGTAATGCATCTTGTCCAAGACCACCCTGAATGCCTTCAGCAGAGACAGAAATCAAGCTCAGATCACCTGGGTCTCAGTCCTGAGGTTTAACCATAAGGCACTCACTCTTCTTGCCTAGTGACAATTCAGGATAGATTGGACAGTATCTACCATTCTGAAACACTGAGAGGCAGCATGCTGGGAAGAACTGCTGTGAAAAAAGACAGGGGAGTGTCTCTGCATGCCATTGCCTGGATGGGTAAAGAGAAGGAAGAGCTGAAGAGATCTAAAATAATAGAAGCAGCATCCTACCACATCTTCCACTTCCTTGCTTGTCTGCTGTTTGCTCACAGACCTCCCCTGCTCCTGGAGGAATGGAGAGACTCAGTGTGTTACTTTGGCATTTCAAGGACCACCTCTCCATGAGACTGCCTTGCTGTGCAATTTCTGCAGTAAGCAGAATTATTCCTGCAGACCCTACACACAGCTCCTCTTCCCTTCAGGGTTCTAAAGACACATGTTTAGAACAACGGCTTATTCTTCTGTGCTGTGTATATGCAGGATTTGCACAATATACATTTCCAGAAATGGGGATTCATTACAATCAAGGCCCAATGTGCAGTCCGTCAGTGACAAATTATGTCAATGAAACAGTAAGTCTCCTTAACCTCACTCTCCTACACAAGCACAACTGGATTGAACGTTCACTGTTCTCTCCAGGTAGCCATCAGTGCCTCAGAAAACCATGCATATCTAAGGAGTAGCTCCCAGAAAACACTGACTCTGAGGTATGCAATCCAGCCTATTTCAGGCTATGTGAGTATCTTCATGAGGCCAGTCAAGGCTCAGTGGTGACCTAAAGACTACCCAAACTTTGGACTAAACTTAGCAGTTCACTTGTGACAGCAAAGAAATTTTGACTGCACTCTAACCGCTCTGCTGTACTGACAAAGTTGGCTGCATCACACGGCTCAACCCCATCTGATCCTCCCACTCTGACTGACAGAAATACCTGGAGACTCCTTGCGTGACTGTCAATGGAAATGTTACAGTTTCATCTCATTATCAGTGTTCACAGCACAGATAAAACCATTCTGGAAATTAACTTCTGGGTGCACGGAGGAGCATCTCATTAAAGCTCAGTATCTCAGCCATGATTCATTCTGTTTTGTTCCTTTTCATGCTGGCTGAAAGTACCAACTACAAGGGCAGGTAAAGCTGTTGCCTTGAAAGGCTCTGAGGTTGGTTACTGTGTGTGCTCCAAGGAAAAGGGAGTCATAACTGGGTTGCCTTTCTTTGTGAACAGTGTGGCATATTGTTATATATTCCTTCCTTCCTTCCTCCCTTCACCCCTCAAACCAGAGAGATCACAAGACACCAGTATCAGCCATGCTGGGCTCCACGCCAGGAGAATTAATGAAGTGGTGTAATAGCTCACACAGAGGCCTAGTGATTGGCACCACACTTAAAATGCATCTGCAAGGCAGGAGATCATAGTGTTGCTGCTGTGTTCTGTTTATTACAGGCATGTCTCTTCCATTCCATTGATTTATTAGCGTGTTTTAAGGCCACAATGTGGGGGCTGGCTCTGCTTGAAGCATGGAGATTTGAATTTCAGCACAGCTTATGGAAAGGAAGACTCCCTTTGAGACTCTAGACCTGGATGACAGAGCCTGGTGCTAACAAGAACAGGAACCCTACTGAGAGGCTCACTAGGAGTTTGAAAAATCCTACAGAGCAATGTGAGACTGGGTTGGTTTTTAAACTTCCTCTTGTTTTTTTTCATGGAACGAAGGGGAAAAATTGTATTGAAAGTGTACAGAGGCTTTGTGGTGACTGCAGAGAGGACTTAATTTCCTAATCTAGAGGGGAGGTTTGAAAGCAGTTGCAAGCAACAGATGTGCAGACTCATAGCTCCTTGCTTTTCATCTGTACTGTTAAGAGGTCAAATCTTGACATGGACAGAAAGGAACGGGTGGGTCTCAGTGTACTCATCAATCAGCATTTGATCACATAATGAACTTCAAATAATTTTGCTATCCATTTTTCATGACTTGGAAAGCAGAAGCCATACAGGACTGAGAGGCAGTGGCTGGGTTGTATAGGGAACCATGATGGCTCCACACCTACCCTGAATTGCCTTGGCTCAGAGCACAGACTGAAAAAAAGTGGACCGTAACCAGCTGAGGATGGGGCCGGGCTGGAGTCATCAGATTCATACTACCAAAGGCCAAGAAGAGTAGGTCTGTATGGGAGGAGGTAGAAATCTGCTGCTACTGTCTGCGACTCCAGTTGCTGAGCTCGCTGTTATAACAAATTCAGACACAGCTAAAAGCTGGCGTAGTGGTGCCAGGCTGCAGCAAGCTCAATGCAGCTGCTGCCCTAACCACAGCTCACTGCGGCAGCACCCTGCACAGTCAACACAGCACCAAGCCATAGCTACAGTGGGGGGTGCATGGTCCAGTGGTGCCCCTAGAGGCGGTGGTGATAAGAAGGCATTGCCCCCGGAGAGCGTGCCCTGTCCCCAGCCAGGCACCCAGGCTTTGCTCAGCTGTTGAGCTTACTGCTGGCTCCCCTGGAAATTCCTAGAAAGCTCTTGCTGGCAACTGAACTGCCATGGAAATGCTTTTACATTGCCCCTGCAATATTCCTCCAAGCAGTCTCCTTTGTACCTGCATTCATGCCCTGCTTGTAATTGCAAAGGACCCTACTGCCTCCCTGTCAATCCTGCATGTGAGTCGAAACGAAGCAGTGTAGAGCACGAACAGGAAGAGCTGCAAGCAGACAGCCTAATCAGGACATGCAAATTCAATTTCAGAAGCCCTAGATTTGTTTTTTTCCAGCCACTAATATTTTTAAAGCCTCCTTTTAAAACAGCCAACACTACTGCTCTCAGTTCCCAAAATTATATGGCCAGTGAAAGCAAACACACATCAGTGTATGCACATGAATCCAAACCTGAAAGCCTTGATTTTTATATCCGTATATGACACCTACAGAGGCCTGCTTTTCACTGTAAAGCACTTGAAAAACCCTTCTTTTAGCTATCTTATACACTACGTGCATCATATCCATTTATTATCTTGCTGGGAAATAACAATGCATGGTGCAAGTCTGCAGGTCTTTATTGAAACCCTTACTATAGACAACTTTTATGCCTGGAATCTATCACTGATTTTTGCAATATATTCTGTGACTCACCCACAACTGGTTTCTAACAAGCTGTCCCCAACCTGCAGCGATGCCATCCCGAAGTCTGCTATCCGGATGTTGTTCTTTTCATCCAGCAGTAGGTTTTCTGGTTTTAAGTCCCTGTGGCTGTAAAGAGAAGATCAAGAAGTGAGTTAAATTATCCCTGACAGCTTTCCCACTCCAAAACTTGTTCTTTATCCAGCGCAGCATCCAACCTATTATATTTTAATTGATTTCATTTTTTTTCCTGTCCCAAGTAGAAGATGACACATATCCAAGATCCAGTCTTTGCAATACTCTAGGCTGTATCCCAAATGCCCACTCCTGATGAATGCAAGGCTTGAGCCTGCAATGCCCTGACAGGAAATGAACATCTTCAGCTTCCAGTGATATCAACACAATCTGACGGAGAAACCGAGGGAAATAAGTAGGAGGAGAATCTCAGCTTGGATTTAGGGCTGATATATTCCATCATATGCCAGCTCCTTAAGGAAGGAGGCAACACCATCAATATATTCTGTCAACAACAAGAAACAAAATGAGTGATATCTAGAGAAAAAAACATCCTTGGTGTAAATGCTACTGCAAAAAGTCCCTATTAGGAGTTGTTTACATAGGCATATGGCTTTGAAAAAATTTTGGGTAATTAGCTCTGACGGAGAAATCCCTTCAACCCAGCACTGCTTATAATTGAGGGTGCCAGCAGGGGGAAGGAAGAGAGAGGATTCCTTCCTTTCCATCAAAACTTCATTCTCTTATTATTTGGCAACATGGGAAGAGCCAGGCAGCCATGATTTTCAGGATGGCAACTGCTGCTTTAAATCAAAGGTATCATATATTGACTAATTTATTAATCTCCATTAGCCAAGCCAACATCATTGTGCACCCATGTCTGCTTCTTACTACTGAAGTACTTTTGTACAACTATTACATTTACTTGATTTTATATCCAAAGACAAAAATCTTGCACAAAACTTGTGATGTCTTTGCTTTTTTTCTTTTTATTTGCAACTCTTGAAGAGTCACAGAGATGAAAGAAGCAGACTGAAGAAGTTAATGGCCATGAAAAGAAGCCCTGAATGCCATCATCAAGGACAGCAGTCCTGCACAAAGGCAAGATCGTCAACATCTGCCAAATCTGAACATGCTCCAGCCCCAGCAGTGAAATGCAGTGAAGAGCCCACAGTCCTAAGGCAAGCTAGGAAAGCTGGACACTAACGAGACAGTAGTGTGTGATTTATTCTTTCCTCCAGCAGACATCCTGGACAGTTCTCACCATACAACTAATTTCATTAATGGGGTGCTGGGAAGACCTCATCTGACTGGGGAGATGCATTGAAGTTCTCCTGTCTTAGGACTAGGGCTCAGTGGCAAGTAACAGCTCCCTGTAAAGCAAGCAGTGCTTATTCGATGCTAAGAAACAAGAAACCTCCCCACAGTTCAAGTTGAATGCGTGTCCTTCTACTGTGCGTGGTTTTTCAGTGGCTATGGTTGTTTTTCAGTCTTGGCAACTGCTCCTGGCTGGCTGCTGAACATGGTGTAGAAGCTGAGGGTGCTGCTGCCCATGCCTGTTCCACTGTTTGTGCACTGGGTAACATCATTCATTCATGTTCGGTCTATAGTATGCCTTTGGTACCTAAAAATTGAAAATCTTTGCTTACGCTAAAAATGTGTAGTTTTTTTAGAGAGAAGAGAACTTGAAGGAAAGATCAGGGCACAGCATGACCCAAGCACAGGACATCCATGTTTCTCCAGCCTGGATGCGCACTCACTACAAAACATCTCATGTTATTTCAGGAAAATGGTGCAGCTAAAGGAAATGCAAAAATGTTGCCCTTCCATGCCTCAAAGCTCCCAGCCTTAGCAGACCTGCCACAGGCCCTGGCTGGAGCAGAACGTATGTGAACCTTGAACCAGTCCCACTCCCAGACCACTGAGAGGTGGTGAAAGGGAAGGGATGATACCTTTGAAAATGAGTACAGTATTCACGGGTGGAAAGGAGTCGTCTTCTCCCCATTTCATCCTTTCTTCCCATCATCTGGGATCCAGAACACAGACAGTTTTAGGTCTGGGTTTTTAGGGAGGATTAAGTGGGAAAATGAGGTTCCTATAAAGTGGCAAATATATTCAGGGGTTATTTGGAGAGCCACTCCAAGAGAGAGGAAAAAGGGGGTGCCACCATCCACATTCCAAATGTGGAGTAAGCTTCACCTCACTGTACACTGCAATGCTTTTCCACAAATGACCAACCTACATGGGCTGATGGTGGTCTTTAGGCAGAGGTCCTGACCCACCTCCCAGAGAGCATTTTGAAAGCCTTCAGCTGGGACCTGGGGATTCGCAGGGCTGGGATAGTATGTGTGAAAGGAAATCTGGAATGACACCAGACCTTAAAGATTTTTTTTTTTTCTCCAGACACCAAAATAAACCAAGAAAAATTATCAGCTCTTCACTATAGCCCACTGAGCAGAGAGGAGAGTGTGGACTCTGTTGAGAACCATTACATTCATTGTTGACTGGGCCCTAAAATACAAGAACTGTCATACAGCAGTTTTGCATGTCTCTGACTCTTCTCCATCCCTCTTTCAACACAGTCCCTAGTGCCCAGTATAGATGGTTAGCACAGGAATTCCATGGCAGCCTGAGTATTTTTTTTTTTGTATCGTGGCATCACGCCTCCCAGAGATCAGGGTGCCAGTGGGATCAGGCAGTGCTTGCATATTCAACCACAAAAGAATTTTATGCCCCAATGAAAGTTTTCTTCTAGCTGGAACATTTCTCTGCTATCCGTCTTTGGACCACTTTGAATTTGCCGAGGCAGCATCCTGGGTATAGAAGTCAGGCCAGGAGTCTGCACTAGAGTGTCAGAACCAGCACCACTGCCACCAGGAATGAGACTTCCTCTCTGATTTCCATTTTCCATCTTTGTATTGCCAGCCTTTCAAATGCCAGAAGGAAGGGAGAGGAACATATGGGAATAGGGAAGGCTTGTTCTAATTTACCTAAGAGCCCAGCAGCCCGGACAGCCTCATGCATTCATATTTGGAAAGAATTCTCTTGTGCCAAAATGAAACAAAACAAAACAAAACAAAAATCCCACTGTATGTGGTAATTACTTGGCATTAATGGAACATTGCAGAGTAAATGCATTTAATTTGGTCCCATTCCAGCTGATCTCTCTGGCTCTCCATGTCTTATATGACCGCATCAAACTCCTCTCTCTGCAGGTGAACAGAGGACTCGTTACCCTTTTGTTGTTCTAAAGGCTCTAAAGCTGTAGGGGCTTTATCACATGGCTGGAAAACCAGAAGAGAAGCAAGCAGCTTCTCTAGTGACAAACATGGCAAACTCTCCTATTGAGCCCTGCGTATGCTGAGGAAGAATATGAAAGAGAAATCCAGCACTGTAGTCAGTGTAATCCTGATCCAGGGTGGCCACAGACTGCCCATAGCTCCTCAACCAAGACAACGGAGTGAGAAGTTAGCTCAGGAGTCTGCATACTGCAGACTTTTGAAGGGAGAGCGTGTGAGTGAAAGGGAGCCATTAAACAAGCTATGACAGGGGAAGCACATGCTGTCAGACTCTCTGCAATGTCCCTCTTTTACAGATTACAACAAAGGCTTTACAATTCCCTTGCAGCACAAGATAGATACAGAGAGAGGTCTGAAAAAATTGTCCCATGGAAACGGGCACAGTTCTTGGAGGTGGTGCATGGAAAATGGAAGGCACGCATATGCGTTAACGTGTTCCAGCTTCCCACTTACACACTGGCCACGCTTGCTTTCTGGTTGCTCCCAGTGATGCTATTCAGACAGTTCCTCTAGCTCCCTCCATTGCCTTTCTAGTCCGTCCTCCCACTCTGGGAATATCCCCGTATCTGTACTGCAGTCAATTGCAGCATGCATAAAAAAGTAAAACACTCTCCCCCTGTCACCCAGGGTTGGCAGAAGATTTTTGGTGTAGTGACAGACTCCAGATCTTGGATTCGAAGGAGCTATGTCACCTGGCACGAGATGATGAACTAACCCATTATTTTAAAGTGATTTTTGAGACAAAACGTTCGTATCAGTTTCTATGACAACTCATTGTAGGTCACAGATTTCTAACCCAAGAAACCTCCTAATTGGAGTAGTTGCAGGTCATTTGTACTAATCAAATTGTTGGCTACTTTGCAAATGCTTTCTTACTGACCCCAAACTCCCAGAAGGGCCAGACCACAGAATAATTGTTCTGCAGTATGCCTCTTAAAAGTGCCTGATATGATGCAAATAATTTATCAGTAATAATCAATAGTATGAGAAGCAATATTTTTAATTTTCTTGAGCAGAAAAAACTTTTCATCTTATCTTGTCTTGCTTCTGCAAATCAGATCCAAATGTGTAACTTGTACCTACCGACAGAATAATCTTTGTTTAGAGCCATGGTTGCTATGCTCAAATTTAGTAAGTTTTCACAGAATTCTGCAGAACAAATAAATATAGTTATAGCTAGGAAAAAGGACAACATCTGTAAACATATCAGGAGACCCAGAGAAGGGTATGAATGCATAAAACCTTGCTTGCTTTTAAACAATTATTTCCATTGACCTATTACAATATATCGCTCCCCCTTACTAACCATGTCTCAAACCATGTATTCATGTATTTCAAAGCCAGAACAGACTGTCAGGTCTGATCACCACCACTGTGCTTGCCAGAGAATGTTACCTGGTTATGCTTACAATAAGACTATGCCATTTTTGAGTTTCCAGTGGCTTATATAAAGAAGTAAACTTACAAAAATACATGTCCTCTGACTTTAGCTGAGCTGGTAACTTTGCCTTTGGCATTGCAGCTGCTGTACTTGATGGGTTTTCTCCGGTTCCCTGTACAAGGGAAATCTGAAGATTCCTCACTGTTTTAAAGTGAGTCTCAATCACAGATCTGAAACTCCTGGATTCAGGCAATGATTGGTGAATCTCAGCTCTCAACAGAGGAAAAAGGTATCTTCCTCACGTTTGATGGTCTGAAAGAAAACTTGAAAACCTAAAGACTCAAGGGCCCAAACCCCCCATCCCCCAGCAACCACCCTTATTAAATTCCACAATCGCTAGACTAGTTTCACATTTGGAGGCCTTGAGTCATGATTTCAAACTGTCCAGCTGCTGCAATCTGAAGTGTTCAACAGATAATCCCTGCAGAACACTATAGCATGCTCCCTATAAATGCAGCAAAGCAGAGCAGGAGTCACTAGGAGGGTGGCACTCTCTGACAGAACATGGCACCTGGCATTCTTCAGCTTTCTCTATTTCACCCCAGATTTCTCCCTAAAAGCTTCCTTTACTGACAGTGCTCTGTGGCTCTCGCCTGCAGGAATATACCAGAGATTTTGGCACTACTGCTGTGAAATCTTGAAGCGTTATTTTATAAGGAGCCTTTCCCCCCCTGCACTGATGGGAAGAACACAAGGCAAAGTCAAACAAAGCTCTTATTCATTGCCTCAGCCCTCTAAGTCACACACCCCCATGCCTACGCATGCACACACAGACACACTCCAGCAAGAGCTTTGTGCATACTCAAGCAGGCACAGCCCCAGGCAATGAAGGGGGAAAGGGCCCTCATAATTGTCATTTATCAATATTCATAAAGAACCTGCCTTAACCCCCTCTTGTGCATGCTCAGGAAAAAAACACAAAATGAAACTCAACCAAAATAAAAATAAAATGAAATAATCATCTTGCTGCTCATTACCGCAGGGGATTTCCTCTCAATGTCACCACTGCCCTGTGCAGTAATTGGCATTATCTGTTATCTCTGAAGCCATAATAAGGTTTGCCACAGGGCATTTTCTGTAATCATATTTTTATTTGTCAGCTTGTGAGATACAGACACCAAATATGAGCTTGACCAAAGCAAAAACCCAACACACACAAAATACGGATGCCACCAATCCCAGCTCTCGCCGGTGATGTCACACGCAGCCAATGAGGCGCCCGCCAGCTCTCCTCGCCTGGCTCCCACCCTCCATTGGCGCTGCAGCATTCCCTCGCTCGAGATAAAAGAGACTCTTCCTGAGGAAAGCAAGGATTTGCGACCTACCCCTACATTGTTTCCGACAGAAAATATAGCCGTCACTGAATTAGCTGAGAGCTCTCCCACAGCACGGAGTCAGGATATTCAAAAGGGACTACTGATTTGGGGGACCCAGCTGAGATATCTTAAAGGCCCTGAATTTAGGAGAGCAGACACCCAGCATTAGGTGAATGGCAGCTTAGGAAAAAAACATCAGTTATGGCCAAAGAAAACTTCCTAGGCTAGGATGGTCTTACACTGATGTACAAGGAAGCCCAGGTTCCTCTGCGTTTTCTTGCACCATTTCTGAGTGCATCCGCTCCGGGCACTGCAGCACGGTGCAGAGGCCTCGGAGCTAGCACGGAGGAAGAGCTGGGAGCAGAAGCAATAATGCTGCATCACTGAGCTAACTGCTCCGCTTGCCAGCTCAGGCAAAGCAGCAAGGTAACACAGAGATGCTGTTAGCAGGATCCCAACTAACACCTCTGCACGGTGCTGTCTGTTTGCACCCATGGTTGCCCATGGGTCCCTAGCACAGCACGGTGCTACATACACAGAAAAGTATTTAGAGAATCCTGCAGTGCGTTACCTATCAGCTTTCCCCCATGGCCAACCTGTACCACAGAACCCCACGATTGCATCTCAGAGTGACATACGTCAAATCTTCCCTCGCTGTTTCCATTAAATAAAGTAAGATCAGAAAGCATTTTTTTAAAACAACACACAGACTCAAGCTCCGAGCCTACTCTGCTTCCTTGTCTGAGCTGCTTGTTTGAAAACACCTCTCAGGCACAGGTGATCTCGCCACACAGTAGCAACAGAAGCCTTTTACTGACAGGATCATTGGGGAATCCTTTCTGATTCTTTGATCCAGGAATCCTGGTGCATCAATACATTTTGAGCAGCGAAAGCTGAATGTGGTTACATACTGCTGTAAAAGTAAGCCACAGATATTTCACAGTGTTTTTGGAGGCACAGGAAGATGGGACAATGATTCGAGGCTGGGGACACCAGGCTATCAATCTATTCTGCCAGTAGGTTAGAGGCACCCACATTTAGTCATTAACCAAAGCAGAAGCCTTCATTTTTCAACATGGTCATAACTGGATAACCTGGATGATGAGATGATTTGTCATTTCACTGCCCCACGACAGGACAAGGTCAGGCTTCATTGCTTAGGAAAGCACATTAACTTTTATACTCACACACATGCACACACTTATATTTATGCATGCTTTGATTTTCAAAAAGGGTTTAATGATAACTGTCCAGAATACAACAGAGTCCAATACAACACAGACCACGCAAGTCTTAGAGTGACCTGGAGGGAGGGAGAGCTTATGATTTACTGCTAACTTATTCAGCCCTAGATGCTAGTCAAGTGGGAGTTGGCAAGGAGACAGGGGATTTACTTCTAAACAAGACTACTGCCCACAATCCAATATGTTTAACAGAGGAAAATGGATTCCTCAAGAGACACATGCACTCTGCCTTGGAAATTCCACATATCTCTAAACCTGCAGAGGTGCTTGTTTGTCTGACAGCCTCACCACAATCCCGACTCAGTTTATTAAAGCGTGCCATATCCAGAGATATCCAGCACAAGCCCAAAGGACTAGCATGTATGTGTATATATGCATGCTTTCACAGAAACTTCTAGTCCAACAGAGATTCACATTTCTCTAGAATATTCATTTGGAAGAGTAAATAACTTATCTTCAGTTGTACTTAAACATTTTTGAGTCTTCTTGGATTGGGTCTCTAAGCGTTAAGCCAGTTAGGGAACAGGACCATGTATGTATGCAATCCACCAGTGGTTACACTGACCAGTGTACATAAAAAATAACAGCTGTACAACCTACCAAGGATTATGCTGATTATAAGAAGGTCATGATCACTCAACCCAGTTGATTAGTAGGGAGGAAAAATTGTGGGATTTACAGAATAAAACTTGTCAAAGGTCTCTGCCAACAGAGAAAACTTAGATCCTCTAGTTAGGGGATGCAACCTGCTCTCAGCTCCTCTGGGAATTTGTTTGACTACTGTAACCCTGCTTGTGCCAGGTAGGCATTGGCCTCGGGACCTTCTCATCAAATCCACCATCTTTGAGCTTCCTCTTCTGCTAATAGTATACTCTTCTTAATATATCCTCAAGAAAGGCTTTTATTGCCCTTTCTGTTTGTTAGAAATATGCTCTCTTTCAGATTAATATTTCCTGTTTAAATGAGTCAGAGATGTAGAGGGAGCGGGCTAGAAGAGCAAGTTAAATATTTAGGGACCCATTTTTGCAGTGATCATTTATGCTGTGGATGTCTGGTTTGCGAGTTTTCAGCGCAAAACTGGGGGGACAGGAAATCACTGTGCTGTTTTCTGAGCAGTAACTACACAGTGCGTATGCAGAGCCAACTCCTGCATCTATCAGTGGCCCTCAGCCTCCTGGAGGGGGGGATCTATAGCTGTCTGTGGCTATGGACAAGCAGCCACGCAGACATAATGTAAATGGTCTCCCCCAGCCAATCTAACTGCGAGGAGCTGCATTTCTGAGAAATAAGCAGGCAGTTAAGGGTCAGCAGCTATACAGAAACTCTGTGCTCAGACTGATTATAACTTGATTTCAGTATAATTTAAATTACCTAAACTTGCTGAAGATGAAAGAGAAACCGGTCCAATTTAAAATACCACCTGAAAGCACAGGTTAAACCACACTTGATGGTTAAATCACATGATGGAGTTAGTGAGTATCAACAGCAGTCAGATCAAGGAAATTCTTCCCTACTGAAAGGAAATTAAAGGCAACAGTGACTCAAATGCCCAGAAGGGACTCAGTGAAGGTTGCCAAAAGCCAGCAGGTTTCCAAAAACTGAAGGAAGCCATAAAATGACTTTGTTGTATTCAAAATTGTCCCCAGTTTCTTCAGGGATTAATTTTGATATAGTGTATGTAATTTTCAGTTATTAGCAAGTGTCCCAAGAATGACAGAAATTAAACTGCTTTTCCTTGGTGGTTTTGGTTTTCCTGGTTGAAGCATTCCCTGTGAATGAATTCTCCTCCAATGAGAAATGACGGACAATCGCCTCCATGAAAATTCTGTCTGTGACTGGTGCACTGTCTCCCGGACAGCCAAGAATTAAAAAATACATCAGCACTTTACATAATGCTTTTAGAGCTTTACAATATCAGTTACTTAATAGCAAGTAGAAGTATTAAGAAATAAGAGGCCTTTATTCTGTGCTTTTATGTAACACTCCCATTGGAAATGTCTGTACTCACCATATTGAATGACTATGGCAGAAGTCTAAAGCAGAGATGATTTGTCGGAAGAACTTCCTGGCTTCTTTTGGTGTCAATCTTCCCTTTTTTACGAGATAGTCGAAGAGTTCCCCACCTGACACGTGTTCTAGCACCAAATACCTAGAAAATAACAAAGCCAGGATTCTGTAAGCACATTATCATACTAACCCCCTCACACACACAGAGTTATATACAAACACCTCTATTTACACGCAGTCAAGGAGAGCACTTCTGGAAAGAACAGTAGAAGAGAATTGGAATTTTAAAATCAGGAGGGATTAATATTTTTAACAGGGGTTCTGCAAACTTCAGACATTCTTCACTGTTGGATTCAGTGTTCAATATAATAGCAAGAGATAATCTGGAAGCCAAAAATTACTCAAAAGACCAGGAGGGGATGAAGAGAATAATCAGCTATAAGCTTTCACAGCAGTTCTTAAAGCTACCGTGGAGTGAGAAGCACTAGGAAGCCTCAGGTCCCTTAACCAAGCTGACAGTTCCTTTATAAAACAGCTGTGGCAAAGCTGCACTCACATACTGTTCTGTCTTGGACACCTGAGAACCAGACAGATGTCAACAAACTAGAAGGAATTAAAAAAAAAAGGTGAATACTTTAAATTATGAAAAAAGGTTAAAAGAACTACATGTGTGCAGCCTACATAAGGGCTTCAGCTTTTGCTGCTGAACAGCAGTGATTTGCTGGAGTAGCTGCCCTCCCTTGCAACTCACACATGAAAAATGTGACACTGAGTGAATAAATGTGGCACAACGGGGAGTTAGGAGCATGAGAGGAACCCCAGACCTCACATAGCACTCCTGGCAGTCATAGCGGGAAGAGTGAAATCTTCTGGCAGGAAAGGACTTGCCATGGATGGACCGTCTTGTTGTAAGTAGGGGTAATGAAAGTAGCCAAGCAGAGGAAAACTTAGTATAAATCTCTGGAAATGTTGCCTAATAGAGGGAATGAAATAGTTTCCCCAGGGAAGTGGCAGGAACACCGTCAACTGAACCATTTAAAAATAAACCAGATATAATACGGACTAAGGAATAGACTTCTATTGGCAAGAGGATTGCTTGAAACCTCCATGGACTTTTTCCATCTCTGTTGTAATTTTGTACTCTACGGTCTCCTTGCTTGTTTGCCCAGCCTACACTATTCTAACGTAGAATGAAGAAATTACGCAATGAGATTATTCAGAATCTGAAATTACATGTATGAACAACAAATTGTTATTATTTTTACTGAAAAATCGCTTTTGTTGTTTGGTTCTGTTAGTTGGTTTAAACCTTGTAAGAGAAGCAGAAACCTGTACTCCTCCCTTACTGCCTAACTCCTTTGAACTGAATTTCAGGGTTGCATGGTAAGGCACGTGATCTGAAAGGTGGTTTCTATAAAGCAGCAATGCAAGGGTGAACAGGGCACTCAAACCTTTGGCAGTTTGTTTGAGAGACATCACCAGAAAACTTGCAAACAAGAATTAGGTATTTTTCCAAATTTTGTGTGTACTTCTCTGTCCTCTCCTCCCAACAGCACTGCAGACCAGGCTGAACTGTATGTACAGTATAATACCTATCTCTCAATGCTTTTCAGCAAGCTAGTTTTACTACCAGTATCAATCCAACTCTTCAAATTTGCGTGGACAATGAAAATAACTCATCCAGGATGTCTTTTCTGTACCTCAAGCAGCATGATCTCAAAGGAAATTTCTAAATTTGAAATGAAAAGAGGAGAAGATTATTACAAAATTGGGGGTTTAATTATTCCTGTTTTCAATGTTTCCAAAAAGATGGAACAGTAGAAGGAGTAAAAGCTGTTCTGAAGAAAGTAAAATTGGCTTAATGATAATGACATTAGCCTTGAAGTCACAAAAGTGGGACCTGCGCTCCTCCTGGTCCATCATCAGCTCCTGTGCACTTCCTTGTATCAGCTCCCAGCCAGCACAAGGAGAAAGCATTTCCCTGCCTTACAGAAATGCAGCAGAGAATGCAGCAAGAGATGGACACTAATACTGTCTTGCTAGCTAAGTAAGTAGTAGAAAGGCACAAGAAAGTGGACAACAAAATTAAATTCTAAACTTTAGGGAATTAAATGGTATTTTCTGCCATTTTTATCAAAATAGAAACAGTTACAAGAAATGTGGTAATATTGACCTTTTTTTTTTTCATTAAAATGAGTACAAAACAGAAAAATCTTGACTTGAAAATCACATTTGGAATATGTGGGTTACCTTCTCTTCAAGAAGAGATGAGTAGTTACCAGACTGTCTACTGAGTATGCCTTGGTAATATGGAGATCACTGTTTAGTTGCATTACATTTTCTGAGCAAAAAAAAGAACCGCTCACAAGAAAGCCGATATGCAGAAGCCACAGGCACTGGGGTGTCCACATTTTCAAGTCCCAATCCTCGCTTTCCGAGCCTTGGCTAACAGACACTCTGGTAAGAGAGTTTGCTATATAATTCATTCTCCCTCTCATACTAGAGACAGATCTGGCTAACTACCCCATATGGCAGACCCATTTTGGCACAGAATCAATCCTAAAATTCTCCTTGACAGCTCCCTCTCTCACTGTGCCCAGCAGAAGCTGGATACAGCAGTGCATCTTGCCCCCAAAATTCAAATTGCTAGCTGCCTTCTTTTCCTGGGAGGTATTTTACGAAGATGATTGCAGTTACAGGCATACAGAACACCCTCCACACTGGTTTCAAATGCACAGTTTTGGAAAATTACAGACCCAGCATTTCTGTCACCCACAGCAGGAACTGCAAGGCAATTTATTTTCATCAACTTCATCTCATTAAAACCACTCAACAAAAATGCACTGACATGTTGTATGAAAAATAAAACAAATTGAAAGACAGGGAGCATTTACAAGGTTATTCATTTTTGCTTGCCACCTAGAAGCACCAGATATAATAATGGAAATGAACAGAGGAGAACATTTGAAAAAGATTTGTGCCTATGACAAGTCAAGGGACACAGGGAAGCACAGCGACGATGTATTCTGGTCTGACAAAGCCCCCAACGTGACAGGAGTGAGGACAACAAACACATTTCCCAGTGGTGAAGTGCAAGAAATAAATGCTACAGGGATCATTCCACAAGTATTACATGGTTATGTTGCAGCTAGGATTTCTGAGTTCAGATTTGCAGCTGGTCACCCGCCAACCCTATTCCCTCCAGTACAATGCAGGTTTTTTTAGGATAGCCCCCAACTAGGAGATTTTCAACTAAACAAGGGTATAATTCAGCACCTGCCTCCATCTCTGTGCAAGCCAGTGTTTTGCTGGAGCATTGCACGGCACAGTAGTAATAGTACACGTTATTTCCAAACAGGCCAACAAAAGGGATTTAAACATTTCCAAGTGTTGCACCAGTTCTAGCTATCTCTGTATGGCTTACACAATCCCCGTTAAATGTTGTGTATCTGTATCTATCCATCTATCTGTGTATGTGTGAGTGTGCCTGAGCGACTCCATAAAAGAAGAGAATACACACTCTGCAAAGCCAAACAGAAAAAGAAAAGGAAAGAGCATTATTCCAGAGGCTGGAAAATAAGGCATACAGATGCTACATCTTTCCTGAATCTGTGGCACAGAAGAGAATCCAGATCTCCTGAGTTCACATCAGTGTCTAAAATCCTTTACTTTACTAAAGTGCTATAGAATTGGAAGTATGCCAATGCCAACTCTTGGAGGATCTAGGAGAAGGTAAATAACACATAGCCTGTAGGGGAGAAAAACCCTAAAAAGCATTTTCCTGAGTTTCCCCCCCCTTTTATCTTTCCCAGATATGACAGGTTCTCATCTCACTACAGTGTTACTTGTGCCATTCATTCTAAGTGAGCGAGCAAATTCTAAAAATCACAGAACATTAACCAGAACTAGTCTCCTATTACATTTGGAGATGAAAAGTAACTTACTGGTGAATGAAGCTTGCTTTTTAAATCCTGTCTATGTAAGATTGACAGCATCAGTCTTCCCACTGCAAAAACGTAGGAAACCCTGCTCTGTAATAACCATTGCAAGGAGGCTCAAGGAAAGGAGCCTCTGGCTGGCAGCATGCACACTACCTGCTGTGATAACACAGAGAGGAGCTACATTAGGACAAAAGACTCTGTAAGAGCACTTAGCTCTCATGTCTTGGATGCTCTGGACACACACCAGCTCTTCTAATCCTTGCATTTCACATGAGGGAAGCATTACAGGTATTAACCTCCTGTTCTTTACTGATAGGGAACTGTGAAGCAAAGTGACTTGCCCAGGGGTTACAGTCACCCAGTATCAGAACTGGGATTAGCACCTGTGGTCCCTTGTGCCTTCTACTCCATGCAGTCCCCACCACCAATTTCCTCTCTGCTTACTAGGACACTGGAAAAGCAAGAAAACATCAGGCTTCTGCAACTCAGTATGGAGCCAAATGCATGTGGTGTTAAAAACAAATTCTCGACTACTGGTTTTCCTCAATAGATATAGTCTTTAAGAGGTTGCAAAAATTTTCACAGGCCACAGCTTGCTTTCATAAAGACACCAAGGTCCATGTCTTGCATGATATCTCACGTCCCTGCTACAAGCCAAGACACAAACCAAAAAATCTCTGGTTAAGTTTCAGAGCTTGAAGGAGACAAGACTTTGGTCTTTAAAGACAAAGAAACCAAATACTTAATACAAGAATAATTTTGTCTATTGGAGACAAGCAGAGAGATTGCATGCAGTAGCATTCTATCTATTCCCTTTGCTCTTTTTCTATCTGCATCCCGTCATCACCACCTCCCCAATAAAAGCTGTAAGTTCCTAACCTCAGCTGATCCACTATATCTTGTATCAGAGATGTGCATGTAGCTTATAAAAGCAAGCTTAGAATAATCCTAGGCTCTCTTCTTTCTTTCTTTTTGGTTCATGTTACTTACTCTTTCAGGAACCAAAACAGTAAAGAAGTAATAATGAAAACTAAACAACGTAGCAAAGGAGGGATGATTTCTGAAAGAGATGGAGTAGCCAAGATGAATGTGCAGAAATGTGGTCTTAAATTACCTTTGTGACCCTCAGATTCTGGCTATACCAGGAACCAGCACAGACTCCAGAGCTCTCTAATTCACAGTAGCCTCCCCATGGTTGACT